AGAGGAGAGAGAGAGAAGAGACAGAGAGAGAAGAGAGAGAGACGAGAGAGAGACGAGAGAGAGAGAAGAGAGGAGAGAGAAAAGACAAGACAGAACAGAAACAAAAGACACAGAAAAGAACAAAGACAGACGCACTGCCTGGCAAGAAATGAAGAAGAAGACAAAAAAACAAAAGAAACAAAAACAAACAAACAAAAAACGAAACAAGAAACAGAGAAGCAAACAAACAAGTACAGATCAAGCAAATGTCCCTCCACGTGCTGACATCCCGAAGTCAGCTCGACGTCAGCGATCGCAAAAGCTATAATTAATCTGTCGCTGACGATCACTACTCGCTCGACCTCGCGGGGATGTGGTCGAGGATGTGACTGTCGTGGGGAGGAAGGGTTGATGTTGTGTTGTTGTGGGGTTGATGCTGGGTGTGAATGATGTTGGTTGTTGTTGATGCTGTAAATATGCTGATTGAAGCGTTGTGAATGAAATGTGGTTGAGGTGTGAATGACGTGTTTGTTGATGTTGTGAATGATGTTGTGTTTGATGTTGATGTTGTGAATGATGTGGTTGGTGAGGTTGTGATGATGTGAATGATTGATGAGTTGTTGATGTTGTGAATGTGATCTGAGTTTGTTGAATGATGTTGTGATTGATGGGATTGTTGTTGAATGTTTGGTGAAATGATGTGATTATGAGTTATGTGAAGTTGATGTGTGATTGATGTGTGATGTTGATGTGATGATGAATTGGATTTGTGATGATGTGATCCCGTAGATATTCGTTAATTCGTTGTTGAAGTTACGGCTGATGGTTGTGGTTGATTTTTGCTTGTTTCTTGTTTCTGATGTTGAGGTTGACGTTGTTTGAGTTTGTGACTTGTTGTAGAAGTTATAATTTTGTAGGTGTGGTGTATTGAAGTTTTAGATAGATACCGATGGATATTGAGATAGATAGGTAGATAGATAGATAAAAACACAGCACACACACACACACACACACAAACACAATAACAACAACAACAACAACAGTAACAACACAATAACACAGACAATCAACAACAACAACTACAACTAAACAACCAACAACAACAAACCCAGCGGCAATAAAGTGAAAAAAAAAACCTCCACAACCCCCCACCCCCCCTTGACCGCCCGCGCAGACATGGCAACGCAGCAGAAGAGAGGTCACCCCCACCACCCCCACCACCCCACCCCACCGCAACCCCCTCTCACCTCCCCCCTATGCACCGCCCCTCCTCCCACCCCTCTTTCCCGTCCCCCCCTCCCCCCCCCTTATGCTAGCCGTCTCCCAAACAACGCAAGTCATTTCATAGGCATTCGTTCATTCTTACTTTTATATTGCATTACAAGCTCTTATCTGATCGCCGCCGAGGATCCCTTTCAATGCAGAGTCATAAATGCCAGACGTCCAGAGAGGGAGAGGAAGAGAGAGGGAGAGAGAGAGAGAGAGAGAGAGGAGAGAAGGGGGGGGAAGAGGGAGAGAGAGGGAGAAGGGGGGAGAGGGAGGGAGAAGAAGAGGAGAGAGGAGAGAGAGAGAGGAGAGAGGAGAAGAGAGG